CCTTGTAGGATGCTTGAGGAGAGCAGGTAGGAAAGAGGTTGCATGTACTGGAGCTCTGTGCATGGGTGTGGCCCAGAAAGCAAACTGCTGGGAAAACAGGGCTCCCGCTCACTTGTTCTCAGAGTATCTCTGTCTCTGTATCTTTAAGTGTTTACTTAAAATTCTTTCTTTTGTTGTGTATGTGTGTGTGTGTGTGTGTGTGCACACGCACGTGTGTGTGTATATGGAGAAGGGTCAAAGGACAACTTACAGAAGTTGGTTACCTGCCATGAGAATTCTAGGATTTGAACTCATAGTGCAAGGCTTTGCAGTAAACACTTTACCTACTGAGTCATCTCAATGGCCCTGCATTTATTTTATTTAAGGATCTGGGGGAACCAGTCTGAGAAAACTTTCTAGTCATCAGAGATGACCTGTACACTTGCACTTACCCCACCAAAGCCAAGAAACAAGATTCTCATTATTTCAGCTATGTTCTGGTGGGAGGAGCCATGATGGGCTCTTGAAGGGATGTCACATATTTAAAAAGTGGCCCTGCCCATCATGGGGCTTCAAAACTAAACCAAGGTTCACATGGAAAGTATTTTAACCCAACTTCTGGCAGAATGATCCTAAACTTTGCTACTGTAACTCTGGGTGTCTTAGTTAGGGTTTTATTACTGTGAAGAGACACTATGACCCAAGCAACTCTTATAAAGAAAAACATTTAATTGGGGCTGGCTTAGAGTTCAGAGATTTAATACATTATTGTGGCAAGAAATATAGCAGCATGCAAGCAGACATGGTGCTGGAGGAGTTGAGGTTTCTACATTTTGATCAGCAGGCAGCAGAAGGAAACCGAGATACAGGGGACAGACTTGAGCTTTTATTACCTCAAAGCCTGCCACCACAGTGACATACTTCCTCCAACAAGGACACACCTACTCCAACAAGGCCACACCTCCTGATAGTGCCACTCACTCCTATGGGCCAAGCATTCATACACATGCGTCTGTAGGTGCTATACTTATTCACACCACCACACGAGGGTCCTCTTCTGAGCCTGGACTTCTCATCTTACACAGCTACATCCTTTTCTGCACGGTGACTGTGAAGCATTCACAAGGAAGAACACTTGAAATTGCTACAGAAATGTTCCTAATTGTTTTTATCTCTTCCAGCATCTTTGGCTCGGGACTTTTGTTTTAAAGAATAATAATAAGCACTTCATTCTGTGTTGTACCCCACTAGTGGTTTGAAAAGAAATGGTTAAATAAAAGCTAAAACAAAACAAAACAAAACAAAAACAAACAAACAAAAACCCCAGTAACTTTCAAAAGCTACATGATGTCTAGGAAGAGTACAGGGAAAATGTTGAGATCAGTGCCATTTGAAAATCATCAAAACTACATGGATTTTATCCTTCCAGTGGCAAATGCAAAGACAGTACGTACCATAATGTGTGCTACATTTTAAGTGTTCAATTAAACGAAATTACTAAAGCATAGCCATCTTTAGCAAAACACATGAAGACTAGCTAGACTAATATATCACAAAAAATTAATACTGGATATGGTTCTTTCACGAGATTATATTTCTCATACACCAAACAATGAAATCCATTAGCTTAGAAAAATGATTAGGCCAGGCATAGCAGTGCATGCCTGTCATCCAGCTCTCCAAATGTGGAGGCAAGAGGATTAAAACAAAGTCAGCAGTTCCCCTGTCTTTACTTTAGTACAACAATAATAATAATATCTTTTAATGTTTATCCTTGGGTACATATGAGTCCCTGTTTCAAACAAATAAAACCATAAAAAAGAAACCTCACTGTGTTTGTGTAGCTGCTGTGACAAGAACTAAAACCTAGGATCAACACCCAAGTCTTCTGTTCCATTTTCACTCATTTGTTTCTGACATTAGAGGTGTGGTTTAACTCTACGTGTGTTCTACTCTTTGTGTGCCAACACGGGAACTTCATTAGATTTCATATACTAATCATACCAAAGTCCTGAGATAGAAACTGGGTTGTTTGGGAGAAAGCCAGTAATGAAAACATATTCTGAATGCTTTCACCGATGAGAAGAGCAAGATTCGCTTGAGCCCTGCCACTATTAGCAGATCTTCTCACTTAAGAATGAGAACAGTCTCTTCCACCCTTTTGTGTGGAGGGGGGAGCCCATCTCCTCTGACCCTCACATCACTGTAGACATAAGCACCTGAGCACACTGGACTGAAGAGAATCCATTGCCATTGAGCCACACTGCCTGACACTCCCAAATGTCAAGATGTTCATGGTGTTGGTTTAATGGAGCTCTTCTAAAAGTGTACACATGAGTTTTTAAAATGTCCTTTTTAAAGAAGGGCCAAGAAGGAGAAGAGGGAGGAACATTGAAATAGGCATTATGTTTTCTTTACAGCCATGTAACCCTAAAAATCCCCTTACAAAAGGATGGCTGTGAGCCTGCATCCTAATGGTCTGCCTCAAGTACTTGTGATATTTTAGCAACCTGGGATCTAAGTGCAGTTTATGGCCCCCTCTCCAGTTCATCCTCCCAGCTTCTTTGGCCATTGTCTTCATCCACTTCCCAGATGCCTTCAACTCATTTTTCTAGTATACTGAATACTATATTCATATCAGTTTAGATTATCATGAGACTCAGTAGAATTAATATGGAAGACAGCTTTACTAACACGTTTTTATTCCCTTTGCTTTCTACAAGAAACAGCCAAACTAGACTCACTCCCAGTACTGAAGAGAGTGTTTGGACCCATATGTAGAATGAACTACTCAACCTTTCTTTGTGGACATCCTATACCCTCTGTTTCCCTCAGAATGGTCCTTAGTTTTGTAGATGATTAACAACAATCCTTGCAGAAGGATCTAATGGGACTGCAAGCCTGCTTCTTCTAGTGTTTCTTACAGAATGTTTCTTCAATATAGTAAGACTATATTGCCTTTTAAAGAAACAGTGACCCAGTCAATCCATCATTTTTTCTAGGACCAAACCAAGTGTTACTGATAGATTTTCTTGTAAGCAATGAAGTGCAAAGATCCACAAAGCCCAGCTGGGTCAGGTATCAGTTTTTCTTCTCAATTCCAAATGCATCCTTCAATAAAAGCCCTAGGATAAACAATGCTGTTCTTCTCCTCTGCAGTGGTACCATGTTAATCTTCAGTGATATCCAACAAGGCAGGATAAAGGAGGGAGATTTCTTACATCCCACCTTGAGGTGGGAGAAAACCAGGGAAGACTGTCTCAGCCACAAGTCCAGAACAGGCCCTGCAAACACACAGCTTCTGCCTTCAAAATATTTCTAAAATTTTATATGCAAACTTTTCCATTCACCACCATAAAGGGCAACCTCCATCAATTGGATGGCAGACTAATACTTCACTAGTTTTTAAATGTTATCATGATGCTAAAACTATAGGCAGGGCCCACCTGAGTTTTTATCTGCACTGTTAACGTGTTTTCCATCACTGCCTTAAGTTTAGACAGTCTACAAGTGGGGGACAATGAAATTAAGTTACAGTCTGTGGTGTTTTCCAATTTTGGAAATATTGGTGTAAATATTGTTGTAATGCTGAATTCAAGTTCTCTGGGATCTGCGTGCTTATCTTTCCTAACCAATGCAGACATCATTTTTAGGTCAAACATTGGCTCTTCGTTTGAATCATGGTTGGGAAAGGGGAATGAATCATAGATTTGTCTAAATGAATTAGTGAGAATTCCAAATCATAGGCTTTCCTTTCTATTAGTGATGACTCAGAGATAATAGAGATAGAAAGGTTGGATATAAATTAATGAAGGAGAAAGTGGAAGGAAGATGGAGAGAAGAAGCAAAGCAGAAGGAGGAACAGAGGAGCAGAGGACGAGAGAAGGAAGAGCAGATGAGGAGGAGCAGAGAAAGAGAATTCATGAAGAATTTTACAGTAACATCTCATTTTGTCCTCTCAAAATTTCTCCAGTCTCAAAAATAAAGACGCAAAGAGTAAAAGGTAACAACAAAAATGTCAGTTTTGAAGTTTCTTTTCACTCAGGTCTGGGAAGATGTTTGAAAGAGTGGTATAAAAATGTACATCAGTCAGGTCTGATTCTCTTTCCTGCTTGTTGAGGACTCCATTTTGCCAGCCTGGATGGTTAAGCTTTCAAGGTTTCCTTCTCGAAGCTCAGCCAGAGAGGCTGCCCTGCTCCAGAAGAAAACTCTATACATTTCACCCTTCAGAAACTTCAGAAACTGGGTTACTGGAACGCAGATCTATTCCCCAGCTTGAAAACAGTATTCACCGAACCCATCAAGAACTGAGGTGGGTGTTTTAAGCACACTTCTACATGACATTACTGGTTCTATAGTAGGTAAGCACCCTCTTTTGCCTTTTAATATGTATCACTGAGTGTGTGGAAGGTCACAGGCAGTGCAACGTCTAGGAGGGGTAGAAAGGCAATTGTTGCAATGGTAGTATTCACACGGGAAGCACTTTCTGCTAAGGGAAGCCTTAAGGGTAATGGATGGGTGTTTCATGAGTGATAGAAGCTGAATGTTCTTGTTATGTTCGTTTGGTTCTGATCTTAATTTTCACCAGTGGCCCTTCCCTATTCTACCTGACTTCACTAGAATCACAGTCCATACTCTACAAAGAGCACAGACAACGTGTTAGAGTGCATGTGTACCTGTTTTACTCTTCTCCACTGCACCTAGAAGGATGTCAAGTGGAGATACAGAGAGCACGCTTGTGATGGAGAGGCATCAGAGCTGGGCACCCAGGAAGCTACTCCTGTTATCCTTGAAAGCACTGACACAAACCTGAGCCATGGCTGCAGTGGCTGAGTGGAAGCACCAGTCCAAAAAGATAGAGTCGAATCCATCCACTCAACCAGCTAAGGAAAAATCCTTCTCCAGTTGGAAACGTCAAGAAATCACCAATAGCAAAACCCAGAGGAGCTTCTATGACATGCCCATCTCCTTTTCTGTTCCAGTGAGGTCACCTCTTTCCCTTCACACAGCCACATACTCACTCTGTCAGGAGCCAGAAGCCTTGAACGGTCTCTCCAGAAGTCTGTGCTATGTGGCCTTTCAAGTCTTCCACAGCAGTCTCAATGGCCCCTGGCTGAGGGGGACAAGAAATCATTTTACTTAGGGAAGACTGAACACACTCTGTACTTAGGATTAATTAGAATGGCCACACCTCCTCCTCCTCCACATCCTCCAGGAGAAATAGTGTGATTCTCGTCACTGCCTGGCAAAGAACTTAGTCTTGAACTCTGTGTTTTACTGTTAGCTCTTGTGTCCTGGCCAAAAGAATTCCAGGTCACTTAAATCAAAATAGCCATTTCTAGAAGAACACTCCTTCCAGGGAAATAACTTTATCGGAAAATTCAAAATTGCATATATATATATATATATGTAAAATAGTGTATATTAGTTGATATGTAATACACACACTCATACACACATGCGAGCTCATGTGCGTGCACATGTGTGCACACACACATATGCACATATACATACACACACATATGTATGTATGTATGTATATATATATATATATATGTATATATATAAATATTCCTGAATTACAAGAAGATATGTTGGTTAAACACGCTTCATTCCATTTATCTTACCTTCAATGTCGCTGACTCAGTGTCTCAACTCTCTCTCTCTCTCTCTCTCTCTCTCTCTCTCTCTCTCTCTCTCCCTCTCCTCAGTTTCTTAACTTTTGCAAAACAAGTGTTCCTACTATTGGGCCTACTTCTATGCAGAAATTTGTTGACATCTTTTCTAGTAAGGTCATGCCTTCCCCAGTTTAATGATTCTTAAACGTCAGTGTACATAAGTTGAAACATTTCTAGAATGTATCTTATTCAGTTTCAGACACAGTTAGTATCCATTGGGACCTAAGACTGCATTTCTGACATGTATCCAGGTGATGGTGCTGGTATAAAGACTGTTCTTGAGGCAATATACTTCATTTCCGTATACTCATGACAACCAGTACTCCTAAGCAGTTATTCTCAATGCTTTATTGTATACCAGCTTCAAAAAATTCTAACCTAAGGTTCATACAAGTCAATTATATCAGAAACCCAGTGGACAGGTACACAAGTACATTTGGAACTTTTAAGGATGCAAACTCTCCTATACGGGGATCTAGACAAGAAGAGATCGACAGTGCCTCAGATGAACTATGTGTATTTGATGCAGAATTTGAGCATTATCCCACACCAGCTCCCTGGTTTGTTCTCTATAGCCCAAGCCATCTACAAAAGAATGGTATCTCTGAAATAAGGTGAATGGCAAGAGTTGGCAGTAATTAGCTCTGCAATATTCACTCAATACTTGGCTTTCACGACTAACCCTTTGGCGCCACTGTGATGACCATAATACGTTCTATATCTCTTTAAGAAAATGTGACAATAACTTTTATAGTCCAGGAACCAGATTCCAACATTTTAGCCACCTATTTCTTTAGTTGGAGAGTCAGCTACTGGACTCATTGATTCTTCCCCCTGTGTCATTGTCTGCAGCTGGTTGAAGGCTGGTAAGAAAGCTTATATTGGTACTCCACACTTGCTGAAGGCCATGTGTCATAAATTCAGCAACTTCTGAGGTTTCAGTCAAAAATGCCTAGCACCTGCTGCTAGACAAGTCTATGTTGCTGTCATTCATTTCTGGTGACAATGCAGAAGGCAGTCTACCCTAGAGGGAAAATCCTGTAATCCCCTGGCTATTCTCAGGTCTCCCAAGCTTATTTCCCTGAGAGGCATTCTGACACTCCCAAGCCCACTTCTCAAAGTCTCCTGAAATATAATGTGCTCTTTGATGAGTCAACATTGGTATTTTTCAAACAATTTCTTTACATAATTTTAGCCTCACAAATATAATTCACTTGCGAAACTAATACTTTTCAGAAAAAAAAGCAGATAGAATTGGAGAGTAATTAAATAACCCTAAAATAAGCATTTTTGTTGAATGTTTTTATGCCAAGAAGTCCCCCAAAATATGTGAAGATGAATATAATAATGTATAAAAATTTAAAGCCTTAGTATCTTCCATACCAAAAGCAATTGCCAAATCTAACCAAATGAAAAATAATCTATTATTAATCCAGATATACCTCGTGAAGTTATACTTCAGATATTCTTGAACATATGCAAAATGTCATGGGTGAAGAACTCTCTGCAGCCTTGTGTGTAGACAGCAATAAATGGGCATCATGAAACAGATACTGATCAAGAGGGTGCAGTAATATGGAATATGTTTGGATAATCTAATATAATGAAGGCTTAGAAGTAATGAAGTATATTGATAAATGAAAAGAAAAATATAAAACAGGAAAAGATTAGGTAGGCCCCTTCCTTATGCAGAACTGATGACACACAGCTAAAGTAATCATAAAAAGGTCGACAAAAAACATTGACATTGGTTTCCTCAGATGGGAAAATATGAGATGGAAATAGAACATGAAAGTGATTTTTTTCCTATCTACCTCTCCAAATGCTAGACACACAAAAAATGTATTATTTGTGGACTATTTTGATGCTCTCTGCAGCTCTGTCAATGTTCTCGCTTTATGCACCACTATTTTTTTTAATATAAACATTGTTTGGGATCTTTCAGAATGTAGAACAGAAAGCTGTACTTCCTTTCCTTTTAGTATTGTGAGCTAGTTGACATTTTTTACTGTTTTAAAATTCATAAATTTGAATCTGATAATTTAGAATAAAAGATTTAAAAATACGTAAGTACTAAGGTCTAAACTCAATCATCCTTATGGCTGTCTAGAATCCATGGGAAGTTGTCTTGGCACTCTTCATTAGTTGATTCATTTGTTAGATTGTTCTGATAATAATTACTGTAACTGAACTATTGGGAGATACCTTGAGGTCCTGTGCATTAACTGGAAACAGACACTGAATAAATGAAAAACTTCAACTTCATTCCCATTATTGATTATGTTAAATAAAAGGGACATGGCCATACTAGAATTCAAGGATCAAATGCTCAGAGCAATCAAGCACTTAGCTCTGAGAATGCATTCTAAGACAAACAGGAAACAATGATCAAATGTACCATCTCACACAACCTAGTGACTCTACTGTCTCTTCCAGTTTAGTCCCAAGTAGTTCCAGGCAAAGCAAGCCATCTTGGAAAATTCCAGACTTGCCTATCTGTTCCCTTGCACTTCCATGATCTAGACGACTACACAGTCAATCCTGACCCAAACAATACCCTTGACTTTGTCAATGGTTTCCATGCAGTAAGATCCCTATCCCTGCAAAAAGAAGAAGCAGCTGTTCAGCTGACCACTTTTAGAGACTCTGGCTCTCAGGCTTCTTCTGTAGCTACTATGATAGCTAGATAGAAACCACTTTGCAACAAACATATTAGTAATAAAATTAGTTCAAAATCAGCCATAATGTGTAAAGACCAAGCAAATTTGTATTTCCTTGAAAAAAATAATGAAAATTCACCTTATCACAGCATTCTTGTGGTTCTGTTCTCACAAAAGAATAAATCATCTTTATGACAGTCCTCAAGGAGTTTCAGTACAATGGAAGCTGAACAACCTCTTGCCCAGTGAGATGTTTATTTTCTAAACTAAATGGAAGCTCACACGGGCAATAACAATAAAACTAATAAATGTATTTGTTCCTAATGTGAGGGCAAGTCACTAGGAACCCTCTAGCAAGAGAAGAGGAAAAGAGAGAGAGTATGAAAGGCAAATTAGTGTCATGGAAGCAATGACATCTCACTACACAATGGGAAGTCCTGAACCTGCTTATTAAAGTCTCGCTGCTCACAATAGAATACAGGCTATAAAAAGGCCATGGGGAACCATTAATTAAATATTAAAAGATCAAATAGTTTTAGTCCCATTAGTTTGTATGTAATTTACATTCTCTGGTATAAATTTAGAGATAATTCTCCATCTCGAATCGCTTTCAACTTTCTGATAAGGTATCTGCAAATACAGAGCCCTACAGGGAGTTTAAAAATATCTTTCTCCATGTGGGCTAAGCATTGTTCTTTTCATAAAAAGTTGCTTTTGAACATCAGTCTCCACAACTAAGATGATTATCATAATATACCTCAAGTTATTAGCCTTGAGGGATACTTTTGTTCAGAGAAGGCATGAAGCCCTTTTTAGATATGTCTAAGCAATAATAGCAGATACACTAAAACAAGAGAAAAGGGTTGCAAATGAACTAATAGCAAATGTTTTAGACTTTCATTTCTGTGACCTCTTATTCAGGTCCCAGTGTCATGGGTATTACAGTGGTGGTACCAGGACTCCTGCATCACAAGTATATTTCCCAGGCCTGGCATGATCCTAGGGTTTCTGGTTAACCATGGACAAGTAACACTTCCTTCAGGTACCTTAGTAAGTTGACTGGCTATTTCCCAGGTCTCACTCACTCTGAGAAAAATTCTCTGAAACTATGTCTGAAAGGCCTAATTTTTATATATAATTGATCAGCAAACCACAAAGGGGATTTAAGAGGTTAATAACTTATTTTATGGTCTGGTACTAAGACATGTGATATAATATCTGATATTATGATGCAAAAATTTTCACTTATTTGTCAAGATTTATTAATTCCATGCCAGTCATTTCTTTGAAAAATCCCTCTTGAAACTCATAGCATTGGATCACTATTCCCTTGGTATCTTTGAGTATCAATTCCTGGTACCTATACACTGTGCTGTGTTACCACAGAAAGCCAATGAGTACCTTTCATTTCTAGATCAGTGATATGAACAGAAAATATTCTTGATAACCAGCTAAAGTTAGGCACACTGTAGTATATATCCTCATTGTGAGACGCTGTGGTGCTAATAACAAATGATGTCACAAAATAGTGTAGCCATGTGAAACAACATTTAGCATAAAAATTCTAATTGCATACAGAAATTTTATATATGAAAAGCAAAACAGAAATCCACTCACAATTGTGTAAGAGATCATGTAATTCATTTTTAGTTAATATTGAACTGTGATGTTACAGTGACTTTTATGTTGTGTATCTATGTTTTCTCATTTTTTTTATCAACTACATTTTGGGTGATAATCCTAAAGTCTTCCAATAAAACTCTTCAGCAACAAATTCTTCCACTGACTCCCTCGGTGCTCTTTGCAATTTGCAATGCATAGACTTTAAATTCTTAGTCTGGAATATGTTGATTTGTCTGTGATTATGGCATGAAATCATAGTACTATAAATAGGTTACTAGGAAACTAGTTCTAGCCCTAGGTTTTCTATTCCATACACTCTTGGGAAAAGTCAGACCTCACTCACTATTGTGTTACTGAGAAAGAGGGACTTGAGCAGCAAGAACACATCGTATTGGCAGAACATTTAAAGAAATGCAGAAGCCAATTTGTTCGCCAGCTGGACCATGACATCTGAGATCTCACTTCAGATCTAAGAAGTCATCACGTTACAATGACTCTCACACATCTGAAACTTCAAGTGTTGTGATTTTACTTAATTATTCCTTGAGAAAGTCAACTAGCCTCCTCTTCACTGCCACAGACCCTTCTGTCAACAGTTATATCTCACCCTAGAGATCGTGGTGAGTTTATAGGCACCTTGCTGCCATTTTATGACTATTTATAGAATTGTGTATGTAAGCAAAAATAAGAGAGAGGAAGTACTGAAAGTAACAATGTTTGATATGTTTATAGATGTGTCATACACTCTATGAATATTGACAAAGTTAGTTCTTTTAGGGCTCTATACAAAAGTTGTGTTTTATTTATACTTGTCAGGTGAAGAAATTGAGACTCATACATACATTCTCTCATTTATTTTTAAAAATGTGGGATAATGTTCATCCCACAATATAAAGGGATGTATATAGAGTAATCAATTATATAGGGCAATCAAACAAAAACCTCTGTGCTAGGTGTGGGCTAGTTCCCCTGAACTTTTCATGAGTTGTTTCCCTGAGACCCACAAAGCAACATGGGTTATTGCCATTATTCTTGGTCCACCACCAGAACTTGATGGTAAGACTCTATTAATTGCTGAAGGCATCATACACTTTGGTCATGGGACATGCTCCTGCTTTGGATCAAGCCAATCAGTGCTTCAGCACTCTCAAAGCCTTGTCCCTAGCTAAGGACTTATCAGCAGTTTCAGGTGCTAGAAGCGGTCAGTCTTCTTCAGCAACATGGCCCATGGTTGCCCATGCTCCTTTTTATGGTACTCTATACCATAGATAGCTACAGGCATCATTAACCAAACTCAGTGGGTTATAAAAATAGAATAAAATGAAGGAGGAGGAGAAAGAGAAGGAGAGGAGGTAAAATAAGACATGACATGTTATGGGGTATATATAGGGGTCTTGGAGGATCTGGAGACAAAGTCAAAGGGTTGATATAATCTAATTAATTGTATTAGTATATGATATTACCAAAGAATAAATTAAGAAACTTATAAACTGTGGCTGCTTCTATTATGTTAATTTGGGTCCATAAAACCGTTTGCACTAGAATCCACATGTCTGCATGTTAAATACTAAGGAATCCTTCTTCCAATTGATTCTGGTTGGTAAATAAAGATGCTGGCAGTCAGTGGTTGGGCAGGGCAGACAGAAGGACCTTAGGGTTTTCATAAGCTTGAGGCAGAGGTGGAAGAAGAAGAGGAGGAGTGAGGAAAGAGGTCCACCATGCTAGGAGAAGGGAGAGGAAAGACACCCATGCCTGAGAAGGTGTGCAACAGAGAGCATAGACACCATGTAGAAGCCAAGGAATAGTGGTCCAGGAGGGCTGTACCATGGGTCCAGGGCAGCCAAGATGGAATATAGGATTTAGTAAGTAATAACTCAGGGATATTGGAAGGAGGTCAATTAGCCATGTGGCAGTTAGGAAGTTGCCCAGTCACTGAGTTGATTAAGGCTTATCAAAATATAAAGACTGTGTATGTGTCCTTTATTCAGGAACTTAGAACATTGTGGGTGGTGTATCGAGGAAGGCACAGCTGCCAGGATTAATTTGAGTATTTACGTGGGTAATGCTACAATAGACTCATCAGCTTTAAGGGTTGATAGGTTATCTTGTCACAATTGCATCTTCATTGTTCTCCCACTTGTTCGTGCACTTATTGCACACTCATTATATTTACGCAAACTTCAATACTCTATCTCCTGATCTGAAAGGGAACAGGGTGTCCTTCACTCTCACCAACTACAAAACATCTCCACAGTGACTTAATCCTGTTTAAGACAGTTGTCCTCAGAAGCTCTTGAGAACTTGGGTTTGCTTTCTATAGGTCTGTTGAAGAGGATACTATCATGTAAAGATTTATATAAATTGTAACTTTTATCTAGGAAGATCAATGGACATCTAGCACTGAACTGAAGTTCTTAAACTATGTGCCTTAGGTGACCTCATTCCCTTGACACTTGTTCACTTTTTTAAAATGTTTTATTTATATTTCATGTATATGAACATTTTGCCTGCATGTATGTAAATGTGCCATGTGAGTGCCTGCTGTTCCTAGAAGCTGGAAGATGTCTGATCCCCTGGAACTGGAATTAGAGGTGGCTCTAAGCCACCAAGTAGGTTCTGGGGACCAAGCTTGGAGCTTCTGCAAAAGCATTAGTGACTTTAATTATGAAGTAATCCCTCCAAACTCTTGTGTGATTACTCTTAAGACAAAGATAGTACAGTCTATACTGCTTGCTTTACTGTGTTGTATAGGGCCACCTTTCTAAAACAGAAGCTGTAAATATCTAATGACACATGCAGTAGCTTTGGGACTGTGTTGTTTCATCTAAACAGTAACTACATGCTTTAGCTTTCATTATATATTTCTAAATGGGAATTAGCCACAGAGAAATTAATTTCAAAAGACAAACATAAAACCAATTACTTGCTGAAGATCAATTCAAGTCACTATGCACTACAGCACACTTAAGGAAATTGCTGCCCTGGCTCATTTGCTGGCAAAGGGCAGCATAAATACCAACATCTCCTTTCATTACAGTCTGACTTCACCCCTAAGATTCTCCTATCCCCAGTTCATTGGCAAAGGCACTAGTTTCTAAAAGTGGCTTGGCATTAAGATTATGGTGGTAGAGGTTGGTGGTAGAGGTCAGTTTTTTTCTCATGAGTTCTACTTGTCAGGAATTTCAGTTTTTCTATGATGATATTCCCTGTTCCTACTATAGAGAGCCAACTGGTCAACCTATGGCACCTTTAGAACCACTGTCAGAAGCAAAGCAAAGAGCTATAAAGACTGTACAGCCTGCTTTCATAGCTGGGCCAGCTCCAGTCACCAGGCCCTTATTCTGAATCACAGCTTTGTACATTTCCATTAAACAATGGCTTCATCCATATCTAGATCATAAAACTCCAAAAGGTGCTTACATTTCCTTTGCAGTTCTATCTCCACTTAACTTTGCATATTCAATAAAGTTCATATATTTTGGAAAACAGACCATATGCTTGACATATGCAAAAACACTCACACAAACACAGATAACATAGCACCTACCAAAGTGCCTTGCACATCAGAGTCTACGTGATGTTTAAACACACACATTCAGTTACTTCAGTTCAAACTTTATCTTAAACGAAGATATATATTTAAAGTCACCAAAGTAGAATTCATTCAGGGTGGTAAATATTCTCAAATTTTTTACCTTTACTTATTTATGATATTGGGTTAAAAAATATATTTTGAAGGGTCAGGAAGATGAAGATAAAAGTGATACACAAATCAGAGAACCTGAGCATAATCTCCAGAAACTGTGTGTGCGTGTGTGTACACACACACACACACACACACATACACACACACACACACACACGCACACACA